GCTGAAATCCATGTCGGATAGCGAAAATCGGAGATATATCGGGAGACATAGACTAAATATCGGATTACCATATCGGATGGTGCGCATATGTATAATATCATATCCTAAATGTAATCTAAGCATTCCTAAATTCAATATAAGCATACTTTATAAATTCTAGAGGCGACGCCGACGATGGGTGGATATCGACGTCGCAGAGAGGCAGTGCCGACAACGGGACGTCGCAGGGAGGCAATGTCGGGGCTCTTCTTCTTCTTCGTCTGCTTGGGGTCCTTCAGATGAGTCACCGACAACCCTCTTCCATTTATCCCGATGACGAGATACCCTGTCGCGCTCAGGCTCAGTTGTGATTCGGATTTCGGGGCTCAACGGAAGATGGACGACGGGGGGCCGAGATGGAGATGGGGGAAGGGCGTCGTCGTTCACGAAAGGAGTGATTGGTTCCCAAGTCCGCTGTAGCCCTAATTTTTCTTTTTTCTTTCTATCGGGTTCATAAGAAACCCTTAAACATGAGAATGAATCAAACGGGTTTGGGTTTTTATCACTAAACTCAAACCTGATAAAAAAACAGATCTAAAAAGAAGGGACATATCGGCCGATTTTTCAAGGCTGAAAAATCAGCCGATATGCCCGATATGACCCGATATTTTAGATTTGGCCCTGAAAATCGACATGCGAGTTGAAAACGCATATATCGTGTCGCTCAAGCCCTCAAACCGACATGTGGGATATGTCAGCCGATATTTAAAACATTGGTGGTAATCACACTATGGTAACCACAATCAAGTTTTCTTCATTTTTAGTTTGAAACAAACACTAGAAAATGAGGGAATCTAATAATACATCAACTACTTTATTCTCTTTTCAAATTGAACCAAACAAATGAAAGTGGTGGAAAGTAATTATTCTCCATATTTTTCACAAAACAAACACAAGAAATAACTTTCCATGAAAGTGAAGGAAACACCAAAACTTTTCATGAAAGTGAAGGAAACACCAAAAAGTGAAGGAATGTTGGACATGGAAAATGGTGGAAAGCAACCAAACAACCCCTTAGT